GTCAAGGGTAATCTATAAGTCGAATATAATCAGAAACGAGTTTATGGAGATTTAATAAAACTTTATAAAACAAGCAGAAACAGTATAAAGGGTCACAGTCCACCATTAAATACCCTACACAAATTGATTGAATGAATGAATGAATGAATAATTGATTGAAGGAATCAATGATTGTTTGATTGAATGAATGAATAAATGAATGATTGAATGATTAAATGATTGATTGACGGAATGAATGAATGAATAAATGATTGATTGACGGAATGAATGAATGAATGAATCAATTTATGAATGAATGAATGAATGACTGGTTGAATGAATGAATAAATGAATGAGTGAATGAATGAATGTATGAATGAATGAGTGAATGAATGAAGAAGGATCTGCTGTCCCTATACAAACAGGGCTCGATATGATGTTATTTGTTCAACGTTGTTTTTTTTCTTTTTACTGAATGAATCGTAACCCGAATATTAAGATTTGCTTTTTTTATTCACACCACTTTTTATACTTTTCATGCAACTAAATTAAGGAATTAGCCGAAGCTTCGAATATGTGACATTGGAAGTTGAAGGTTATAGATGCTTTCAATCATCCAAACTATAAATATAAATATATAATATTATAAATAAAAATCTATTTGATTTTATTTATGAAGTCACGCTTAGCAATTGTAAGCATAATATTTAGAAACAGCTAAAAGAGTATGTCCTTACTTAAGGTCACTAACGTAAGTTGCAGCAAAAGTTACTGACAAATTAACTGTCTCCCGATACCCTATCTGGATCTTGCTGATCCTCCTACGTTATTAAATACAAGGCTTCAAAACCAGCCTTGACTAGAGGTTGCCAATACTTTTCCACAATTTCGGGTACCAGTAAAGGAGATGCTACTGAAAGATCAGGCAAAATATTCTGTCTATTGCAGCGCCTAACTAGCGCAAAGTGGAATCCCACAGTGTAAGCAACTTAGATCCATTGGGATTGCTTTTCAGCAGTACCATCAACGGTGTGGGATACAAAAAGCCAAGACACAATACATGGACAACTTTGCTACAGCTGAACATTGAGAGACATTGTTTTCTTACGACGACTGCTTTAAAATAAAGCATTACAAGAGAGTTGATTGTAAATGATTTCATTTACTATCAGTAGAGTTCGTCCTTGGTCTAACACATATCAGTCTCATATAAAAAATTGCGGCCTGTAGCTTGAACAGAGAAATGGATGAACAGGCGTGCGACAGATGGACAAACTTAAACAGAATTAGAAATTGAATCTGAATCAAAAGTCTAATAAAATATTAGTTTGGGGAAAAAGAAAACCATTATTTTTATATGAACTTCAGGACTTTATTTAACATGCTTCGGATTGTCCGATTTGGGTCAAATATGCACCGTTTTGTTGTGTGATTTGTTGCCATTTTAAAGGTAACTTCAAAATGCCTCTCTCGTAGAAGTCCTGGCAAATTGAAATCGCCAGGCACAAATATCAATCCGGCGGCTTCATATATTTAAACACTTTACGAATAAAAGACGTATGTTTTTTATAAGTGCCGCTATCCGCATTGGATATCCACAAAGGATTCAGAAAGGGTCACTAGGATCATCTCTTCTTACGACAGCCTGGCACTCTGCAGAGATTTTTTAATGGTGTTCACCTAACTTCGAAAGGGAACAATCTAGATAGAAAGCTGAAACTTGTCATATATAATACACACAAAAAATGAAATAAAACAAACGCATGAGCCCCCACCGATTGAATACTTTCAGAAGAAATCTATTACAATATATTAGTTTCGATTATATTATCAGCAATATAAATGATGTCTTCCTCATCAGCTGTATAAGAGGATTCGTCATTTCGAATTGTTGTCAAGTTTTTGCCATCATGTCTCTCTTTTTTATCCTGGTTACAGCTCTATTTTTAGAGGATAGTAAAGGCTGATCTATATTTTTCCGAACTTTGTCTAACTTGATCTAACTGCAACAGATTCCGTTACATTAATGCGATTAAACTGTTAATCGTCCTATGACGATCTCTTTTCCTCGCCCCAATCAATCTGCTTTGTTGAAATATTTCTATTGTCGCAATCCGCATGTACCTGAGTAGTTTATTTTTTTTCAATTCTGATGAAACGTCACTAGAAAATTTATCACCATCAAGCAGCGCTTGCTAGTGCATTTGACATTAGAGTATGGAGTTAATTAAAATGGCCTCTGAAATAAATTACATATATTAAGATTTTTCAAAAGGTAGATGATTTAATCAATTTGCGTCCTGAACAGCTCATGTGACATATATGCGCCACATTTTCAGTCTTTATACTAACTTTAACAGTCCAGCAAATAACAGTATGCCACAAACAGAAAATGAAATCGAAATTGTCGGAGAAACGCTGATGACCCTCAGGCTGTTGTTGTGATATATGTATTTGTTCCCTTAATAATTAAAATTTTTTTCTTTTTTGATTATCTAATGGCTGATATTAAAACAGAAAATAATCATATATATATATGTATGTATATATGTTCGAACAGGAAAAAGAAGGATGGCGAATATCAATTCCATTTTTCAACAAATAATCTGTTGACGCCGTTATCTTTTATAATATATATCGATAGATGTAGGACTAAAGTCTTAAAGCTCTAGCATCTAAGGCGTTTATTAAAAACTCTACCGCACTTAGAGATTTGAAACCACTACCATTAAGTTGATAGTCGAGACTCTTGCTTACTTGGCCACTCAGGCCATGATAAATAAATAGTCGGCAGGCATACTTTATTTTATCAAGTCCATGTATATTCATATATACATATATGTATGTATGCATATATACAAATATTACGAGAAATAAACTTAACTGATTTTTTTTTTTTACCACTTGGTGCGGTACAAATCTCAAATTGCATATACCTTACATCAAGTTATGCAAAGTGTTTGTAATTATTAATTGATGAAATAAATGTTGTAAATACACAAAAAACACAACCTTTTATAATAATCAAAATTAAATTAAATTTTTATGCTACAGATGGTTTTTCATGATAGAGGATTTGCAACATATTGAAAACAATTCTGCAATGGACATAAGATGGAAGGAAATATAACACAATTTAAATTTATTAATGTCTTAAGTAAAATAAAAAAATAAATTGATTTTTAATAAATTTTCAAATTTTCATTTTTTTTGGTTTTCGTATACAATAAAGAAAATTTATTTAATCAGAGAATCTGTTATGCTAAACATTTGTCTTGTAAAAAATTGCATGCAAACGTTTCAAATATAAATAAAAACAAAATAAAAATGTTGGGGGGGAGATTTTCTCTTAGCTTTTCTTTACTTTTATATATGTATTTTGGTCATTTTCAGACACATTCTGGTTGAGTTTTGTTCATTTTGAGAGATCTGGCTATCGGTTTTTGGTAATTTTGAGAGACCTAGCTATTGGCTTTTGGTAAATCAATGAATTCAATATTTTTTTAAGAAATTGCCAGCAACTAAGGAGACTCGAACTTGATTTCCAGGGAAACGAAATGAATCTCAGATGGGTCGCTCTCCCATTTAAAAATATTTGTAAACAAATTCACGTGTAATTCTTTCAATTTCTGCAGAAATCTTTTTTTGTACCTCTTCCCTATCGTCTTTTAGGCATTTGTTCAATGTTTTTAAAAATAACTTTAAATTAAGGATTAATGATTTTTAAGACATATTTATATAAGAATACTTTATGTAAGTTTTTCACCGCAATAGTTGTTGTTTCTTTTTATTTTTATAACTTTTTCTCTTTTTTTCTGTTTTTTTTTTTAGAATTTTTTCGATTTATTTCGCAATTTTTCACTTTATTTATGATCTCCTCGAAGTTCTTTGTTCAAATGGTTTTGCTTCTACATAAAACCATTAGCTGGTGTCATCCTTTACATAGTTTACAAAAAAAGGTACCTTGTGTTGAGAATAGAGAGAGCACAGAATCGCTACAATAAATTGCCACGACTCCAATGAAAATCTCAATAAATTTGCATTCGATTCTGTTAGTGCGATAAGTTTAAGTTCGATTCAGTTCTTCAGAATGCTGTATGTATCGAAAATCGAGCTTATTAAGACCTGTTATTCCTTATTATAAAATTTTCAAGCCCCAACTTGGAAATTGGAATTGGCCGCTTACCAACGTTGATGCTATTTCATCTTGCCGTGGCGCAGTAGGCCTTCTAACTTAACAAAAGGGAAGGAAAACTGCGAGCTGCTTTCTTTTAATATTTAATAAATATTATGGTCAACGGATTAATTTTTATTCACGTTAAATTTCCTTCAGATTTGATGTTCTTCTGGTTTTTTTTTTTTTTGTTTTTATTTAATTTTATGTTTATACTTTTTTATTATGTTTTTATTTTCATTTTATATTTATTTTAATTTTACTTAATTTTTTTTATTGTGTTTTTATTTTCATTTTATTTTCTTTTTGTATTTATTTTTTTATTTACTTTATTTTTTTTAACTTAATTTTTTTTATTCCTACTTTGTCATTTTTATATATTTTATTTTTATTTTTTTAATTGGTTCTCTTTTTTTCCATTTTTCTTTATTTTTTTTTAAGTTTAAAAATTTTCTAAACAATCTTCAATATCTTTACTTACGCACACTGTAGCAAGGAATTTTTTTGTAATATCTATCATTATCCTATCGATAGAAAACAAAATTACACACTGTAGCAAGGAATTTTTTTGTAATATCTATCATTATCCTATCGATAGAAAACAAAATTACTTACATAAATTTAATTCTTTTTTTCAAAGTTTAGGAAATAAATTTAAAACTTTTCAATTAAATTTTTTTTTTTTTTTTTATAAATAATTGTCTTTCGCGATTTATTTGTTATTATAATTTAAAAGATAACTGAAAGCAAATTTTATTTAATTAGTTTACTAACACACGTACAGTACATGAGCAAACTGTGTTTGAAATTTTTTTTGAGATACACTATTATTATTATATATGCTATAAAATTAAATACAAAAAGTAATAATAATAATAATAATAATAAAGCTGCTGTTTGAATTTGTTAAGGTGGAAAATGATGAATAAATAAACTCGTAATTAAATAGCAGTTAGTGAGCGACGTTTTTGTAATGTTAGATCGGGATGCCAAACATCGACTATCAACACCAATCGTATACCGGTTCCATTATGCCAGACCTCATGTTCAAAACTATCATCGAATATTAGAAATTTTCCCTCGTGCCAAGTGCTAAAATTAACATTAAATACTTGAAATTCTTTCCAATTTTTTCTTAAAAAAAAAAAAAAAGGGAAAAATATGTTTACCTTTCTTCTTCAGCTACCCGTAAACGTGATCCTTTATTAATGAGAAAGCTTAGTTAGTTAACGACAAGTAATTTTTCCTAATTAACTAAATTCTTCAAATGATTGATAACAAAAACTCCTCCTTCTGAACATGGTTTATTCCGTATTACCATTTACTCATTTAACAGAACGGGTACGGAGCTTTTTCACAATTTATTGTCATTGAACAGAACGCGGACAGTGCTTTTTCATCATTTATTGAAAGCAACTCTGTTCCCTATCTATTCAGAACAAATGGTACTTTTTTTTTTTTTGAAATCAAAGCAATTTTACAAGTGCACAATGAAGTTGTGCGAAGTGAAATCAGAATCCAGAAAAAAAAAATTTCAAGGAGAAGTTTTTGAAACATTTGCATAAAAGTGAAATAAGAACGTACGTGCTCCTTCGGGTACCACCAAACCTAAGTGAGCTCTCAGCCGACAATTGGTAGGCCCGCAATGAGGCCATACATGCGTATCTTCGTGCATAATACTGAATTTCACTTGTCCTCTGCGACACTGACGCGCAACAGGAAATTCTTCAATTAAACTGCAGGTAATGGGGGCCTTCAAGCAGTTACGATATATTTGTTGACCGCGCGCATACAATTCAAACTGTTTCCAATCACCTTGATCTTTGAGATTTTCTGATTCATCGATGAAATATCCTTCTTTACTTAGAATGTTCAAACCCTCTGCTTTAATAGCCAACCAATTCTGTTCTAATTTATGAAAGAAAGCCTGATAACCGGTTTCATTTTTTGACCAAAATGGTTGAGCTTTAAGTCCGGGTTCGTTATACAAAGAACGCTGATAAATGCTAGGGAATAATTTTAAATCGGCACCTTGCTTATAAACTTTGAAAGCCTCTTCTTCGCGACCCAAACGTTGTAAAGCATCGCCTAATTGAAAATAAAAGCGTCCATCCTGAGTACCCTCCGCTTTGCTGGCAATGCCACGTTGCAAGTAATCGACTGCCTTGTCGTATTTCAAATAATATTGTTTTAATACAAAACCGTAATGAACCAAAGCAAAGCCATCGTCTGGCCATTTTTGAAGTAATTGTTCCAAAACTTTTTTAGCCTCTGAAAAACTACACTGGTGTACTCTTACTTCAGTTAAGAATTCATAAACATTTGTTTACCGATTTATTAAGAGATAAGTAACCGTTAGCTGTTGACGCAACTCTAAATCTTGCGGGAAACGCTTTATAAGCTCATGATGTAAAGGCAAAGCATCCTGATGTTGTCCTGGAAAAGAAAAACTATTTAGAAAAAATTATTTTCAATTTATTTTCCAAACTCATTTACCCAAAAATTTCATTCGTTCCAAGCACCTTGTAGCTGCTGCTTTATACTCCTTTACATTTGCAATTTTTTTATCGATCTGCAGATAATACTTATAAACTTCAATGGCTGCTTTTAACAATTGATTGCTTTTCTGTTGTTCGGCGTATGCATCTAAGGCTCGAGCCTTAGCCAATTGCAATTGGATTCGTTGTGGGTAAGTTTTGATGAGCATATCATAGGTTTGTAAAGCTTGGGGATAAAGCTAATTATGCCAAGCATAAACACATAAACAAACAAACAAACAGCATGTTAAAACGTTAAGTTAGCAAGAGCAAAAAAATAAATAAATAAATAAATAAAAAATTAAAATTAAGTCAATATTAATTTCACAAGCGAGAGTTATTCTAATTTTTGTAAAGTGGGTGTTTTTATAGAATAACTCTGAGTCAACATTGAGTTAATTTAAATTTTTTTTATTTTCCATAAAACAAAAACGAAATGCAACGTTTTCTTTTTTTTTTAAACAGTTTTTTTTTAACACACCATAGACAGGTTTTTAGTTAAAATTGTAAAATTCATGCGCTTTTAAACAAAAAACAAATATTAAAAGATTATTTGAAAAAGAAAAAAAAAAAACGCATTAAAAGAATAAAGTAAAGAAACACGAAAATGTAAAGCTATGCACATTTAGGACTTAGAAAAAGATTGTCGTGGTGTTGTTGGAGAGTACTTTTTGTTTTTGTATTTTTTTTTTTTTTTTTTTTGCTTAAAATTTTAATGATAATTGTACTGTAGTAAATATATATTAAAAAATTGAAAGATTTTGTTTAAATTTTTTTTCTTATTATGATTTTAATTAAAGAAATTATAATTACCTCTCTCAGCATTTCCTCATTGGCTCTCCTTAATTCTTGCTCGAAGACATCGAAATCGTCATCGGAAGCTCTTGGACCGCTTTTTGGTTTTATTTCTATAGAAAAAATATTTTTATAATCTAATTGGTTAAATTGATTAAAACTGAACTAAATACGAAATGGATTTTATTCATTTTATTTTTTGAAAAGTTTCTTATCAACATCTGAGCAATCCCTATATACCTAGAGAAACGTTCAATACTTGCGTCAATAAGAGAAATTTATTGAATTTGCCGCCATTTTTGCGATAAAGTCTTGTCAAACCAAAAATAAAAAATTCACACCTAACAGTGAAGGGTTAGTAAAAATCGAGCACTACACGTGAGAGCAACACGTTTTCGTTGTTGAACAATAAGTCGCATGCCATACAGCCCGTGAAACCATTTATTTACTGCATGGGATATACCTTGGTCGTGCTTTGTCTCACCGTCGTCCATTTATTAGACTTATTTACAAAAAAAAGTCTACGCCAACGAGTCCACAACCACCCGTAGATTGAAGAACGAGATTCAACACCTCATCAAAGATATTCAGCCACATTTATGCAAAATGGTCATCGAAAACGTTATGGTCCCCATCCCGGTGTTACTTTTTTTAAGAATAAAAGAACTTTCAAAGGTTGCCTGTTCAATTCCTCCACGGGTTATTTGGAGGCGTTGTTGCTGATTTTTTTTTGGACCGCTTTGTGGTGCTCAAGCTTTTTTCCTCAGAGTTGCGTTTAATTTACTCTCTACAGCGGGCTTCGGGTCTGACCAAATTGCCCCATTTGCAATACCAATGTCTGTACAAAAACTTCCAATATTTCTAATAAACTTGATGTCGATATTTTCATTTTTGCAACTCAAAGAGTGCCAAGAGCACAAATCACAAAGGCACACAGACGGACAGATATGACTTAATCAAGATCACAATTACACGCTGGTCAAGAATATACATATTTTATAAGGTCTCTGACATTTCCGTTTGGGTTTTACGTAAATTATTTCAAAAAAAATACGAAAAAAAGTATATCCTCATCCTTCAGTGGTGGGAGATTAAATATCTATTGAACTCTGTCTTTACATTTTTTGTTATGTGCCTTATGTTTATCTTTGGTGTTGGCTTTCAAAATTTTAAAAATTGCTATAGAAAATTAAAACGCGAGACTTTCATTATTTTATTTCTAAAGTTTGTAGCCTGTTTATGGGTCGCCTAATAAGTCAGGAGCGTTCAACAGTCGAATGAGAGATTTCTTAAACGAAAAATTGCTATCGAGGAACATATTCAAATTGCGATTGAGTTTACACACCATAGAAAAATCTAAGACGGCTTCTTCTCAAATTAAAAATTTGAAAATATTTTTATTAAGTACTCATTACACCCTACACTACTAGGAGGAACTGAGATAGATCAATCCTCCTCTCAATCTATACAAGTCCGTTCGTCTATTCGTCTTGTTTTCTTGTGTCTGTCAGCCTACAGAATGCAATTTTTGAGATATGCTGATGAAACTTCGTACATCCGCACGTTTGGCCGAAGGACAAAAACTATCAAAAATGGTTCCGATCGACTTCTGTTTTCACAAGACCTTAATTTGAAATGTCATTATACGGACAACTGCATTAAACGAAGTGGTGTAGGGTGTTTAACAATGGGCGGCGCTCCCCTAGATTGTGCTCAAATGTTTTATGGACGGAAAGTTGTAACAAACAAAAATAATAAAATACATTAATACATTAATGTCATTGAAATGAATAAATATAAGAAAAAATAAACTAAATATCAATTCAAATTTGGAATTATTCCAAAAATTCAATTTCCTTAGTTGCTGAATGATGATGAACACTTCATGACCATTTCCTTATTCAATTCATTCAATCTAAGCACACAACCACACATTGTGTTCAAAACTTGTTGTTGAATGTCGTTAAGAATCTTAATCATTTTCATTTGACGAAAAGAAGAAGAGGAAGAAGAAATAATAAGAAATTTCGATCGTTAGCAATAATTGGCGTTTTGCATTTTCGAAAAAGTAAATTATCTTAAATTAAAGTAAAATACATTATCTTAAAACAAAACGAAAAAAGAATAACAAAATATTGTAAAGAAAACTTGAAAACCTTGAATACTTAAAAACATTTCTTAAAATTATATCTAAAAAAAAAATTGATAATCAAAAGTCATTAAGAGAAAAAAAATTCGCAAACTTAATTTTCTATATATATAAGAGATCTCTTCGTAGACGGATCTCATTTTAGTTTACAACTTTTAAAATTAAATCGCATTCTGAAGGTCCTTGAAACAGACAAATGCACTTTAACAGTATTCTTAAGCCAATGAGGGCAAGTAGTAGAAGAAACGAAGACAACATCGCAACTCTACGTGAGAGTGAGAATAGCGATAACCAGAACTAATAGAGATCTATGGCTCCTAAGTCACAGTCGAGTTATCGATAACGAAACGCGATGAGAAGCGCCCATAGTTAAAAACGTTATTTTTACCTGTATTTTAACTAAAAATAATAAGAAACATAATTTTTTTTTTAGTAATTACGTGTCCATGATGGATCATCGGGATCTTCATCACTTTCATATTCTTTGGCTGGTAATTTGCCATATTTGGCTTCTAAACGATTCATTAATTCTGTATCATCGACTTCGGATATATCATCCTCTTCGTCAACATCGTCATTATCATTTAATGCCTCATCTTCATCTAATACTTCAGAGTTATTATCTTCTGCTTCTTCCTCATCGTCATAGATATCATCTTCATCATAATCGATAACTTCATCATCTGGCTGATAATGCATCATCTGAGAATACTTAGGTAAAACATCAGGTATTTGCAAGTCTTCTTTCATTGACGATAAGGTTACATTTGCCTCAACAGATTTTGGTACGCTTTGATTTGACATAATTTCTGCTGGTGCGATTGGTGCTAAATCAACGACTGCGGCTAGTTTCAAAGAAGATTCTTCCATTTGATTGTTGATTTGATTGTTTATTGTGGATATATTTTCTACTTGTTCTTCTTCTTCTTCTTCTACTTGATCTTTTTCTTCTTCTTTTAATGTTATTTCCAATTCCGATTCAACTATAGATCCCGGTTTATAGCCCTTAGAACGATACATGGCTTCCAATTGCTCAAATGTTTCGGGAACGTACGCATCTCCAGCATCTATTTCACCTTCTTCACCAGGCTGCTCCTCTTCATCCACTAAATACTCGATTTCTTCTTCTATTTCAAATTCCTCCTCGGAATAATCTTTAAATTTCATTTCATTAATAAAAAAAAAAACAAAGTACAAATAATAAAATTTTCTGAAAATGCTTCCAATCGATTCAAAGGTAAGAAAACAAGTCCGTTATACCGTGTATACGGTAATCAAATTAAAAAAATCAATCATTTTTAAACGTTTATCAGCATAATAGACTTGTTTTTGAATCGGGAACGTTTTTAACCGTTTTCTAGTAGAGATTCGTCGTTTGCTTCCATTCCACTCTCCGGTATGGGCTCTTCATCAGTTGCTATGGTAAGGCGACGTTTCATTAATGTTTCTGCCATGTCTTCACCTAAAGTAGCTTTTTACAAATAATATAAAATCAACTTCTTTTTTCTTTTTTTTTTTTTTTATGTATAAACACAGTTAACAACAAAAAATTATATATATAAAAAAAAAAAAATAAATAAGTTCACAATTGCGAGAAAAGAAAGTGCAAATATTAGAAAAAATAAGGATGAAGAACATTTTTAGAGAAACATTTTGTTAAAACGTAACATAAGGAAAATTTTTAATTGTGTTACGAAATAACGTAAAGCGTATTACGCTCCACAATGCACAACATCAACATGCGTACGAAATTACTAAAATTTTGGTTATACAGAAGAGCAGGTTAAATGGCATAATATGCTTTAAAGGGGTTAACATAGTCTCTACAAAAGCTTAAGTCTTTTCGTGACTTATATACAAAAATAACAGAGCAAGACTATGATCTTATTATAAGATAGCACTCACTTGCCATAGGATTTTTCCTAATCAATACGAGACGCGCTACCGAGGCTAGAGCGATACCGATACCAATTTTCAAAGTCACTGTAAATATGTTTTGTAATTAGTGAACTTTTTCCGTATTTTGCACTTTCTTGTACAAGTTCTATTCTTATTTTGTATTATTTACATATTGTGTAAACTAAATTGCTTCTTCTTTTTCATTTTCTGCAAACTTAAGATAAAAATTAAAACTCAAATACAAAAAGTTTTTTAATTTCTTTGGTACTTATAACTCGAACTCGAACTTTTGGTTGTTAATTTCCTTTTTATACGCTACACCACTTGCGGTACAAATGGTCTCAGGAGGGCTTGAGATAGGTGCACATTTATCCGTCCATCTGTCCGTCTTGTTTACTTTGTTTCAACGTGTAGGTCGCAATTTTGAATATATTTTGATGAAATTTGGTACAGCGACCACTTACGGAGTCCATTTTATCAATAATTTTACGGTTGTGTAAGATACTTAATGGTGGCCTTGCCTCACTATAGTGTTGTTACTTGTTTTTAAATTCAAAAGTTTGCTTAGAGCTAAGAAAAACATAATGTTGTAACCTGCTTTGGGGGGCCAAATATATAATGGTCCCTCGTCCATATTCATATATAGGATTTATCATAAATAATATCAATTAGTGCGACTACGTATTTTAAAACAACTACAATTTGTTCACTTATGAAACTATTAACTTTTTCACATACTTTTCTTCTTTTTTCCCCCAAAAATTAAGACTAAATATAATTTGAAGAGATTATCACGTTAAGACGTAAACCTAAAGTTGAACCTACAGAATCTGGAAAATTCGTAATTTCAATGTTATTCCATTTTTACCCTTTCCAAGTCGTTAAGTCGTTTTCAAAGCCTATACCATCCAAAACTTGCCACTATATTTAAAAAATTCCAGTTTGACTTCTAAAGCAAGACAAGCGAGACAGAAATAGTTTTAAGGAAAAAAGTTGCGTTAATCAATTGATAGAAATTCAAACTTCTACAAAATTGCTATTTACAAACAGACAAAGATTTCTTATAAGAGGTTTTTCTCTCTTTAATTAACTAAGCTTTTTTATACCCATCACTGAAGGAAGGACGGACGAGAAGTCCATTCATATTGTCAAAATGTTTGCAAACAGCCAGAATGAAGCCCCAGAGACCCCATAAGATGTATATGGTCTTGATCATCTTGAGCATCACATTCTAAACCGATTTAAGCTTATCCGTCCATCTATCTGCCTGTGTATTGCCTGTGTTAAGCAGTCTCTCTCCTCTTCGCAAAAATATAGCAATCGGTTTTAAATTTGGTCCCAAAAAAATGGAAATTTTTTGAATGCAGGCCAAATCGGTCAAAGAACACGACCATAGTGTAACATAACCTGAGATCGCTTCTCTTTCTCAAAATCAAAAAAAAAAGGCTTTTGTTTGTTTTTTCGCGAACTACAAAAGCATTTATATTCTACGCAACATCTGCACAAAAATGGAGAAAATCGGTCACGCCCATTATTAAAATTTAATTCTTTTATCAAAACCTTTCCAGCACCCAGAAACAAGCTTCGGACACCACACAAAATCCACATGTTATTGATCAGTATTAAGCGGTGATGGGTGTAAAAATCTCGGTTGTGGTCGAATATAGTTTTCTTACTTCTTTCCGTTCTTTATTTTTCTTTTAAAAAGTTTTACTTACGCGAGGAAGCCCATGACGGTACTTGATTAGATATCTCATCATCCATACTGTCAGCGTTTTCTGCGTTTTCATTAACTTCAACAGATGGCGGATTATTTTTGGCTGCTGCTGCTGCTTGCTGACGTGCTTTCTCTTGCAACAGTTCAAATTCACCTGCGTCATTATCAACTAGATTTTCTAAGGATTCATAAGTGCCGTCATCAAAATCCTAAAGAACAAAGAAAATTAAAGCAAAAAAAACGAAAAAACCATTATGAAAAAACCAAACCTCATCATCTTCTTCGTCTTCCTGGTTGTCAGCACTATCGTTATCATTGTTATTCCCATTTGACGCTACATTAGAAGTTTCCGCTGTGATATTTTCATCGACATTCTCGTCGTCTTCGTCGTCGTCCTCATCTTCATCGTTTTGGGATTGTTGAGCAGAATTCTTTTCTTCGGTGATATTCTCATCATCGTCGTCATTATCGTTTATGGGAATTTCTTCTTCTTCCTGTTCATCTTCCTCTTCCTCGTCAGCATCATCTTCACCAGTTTGCTCTTCGGTCGCATCTTGCAGCTCTTCTTCACCTTCAGAAACATCTGCAACTTCTTCGTAAGGTTCATCGTCATGTTCGTCATCGTGCTCTTCATCATGCTCGTCATCGTCCTCATGGTTTTCAGCAGAAGCAGCAGCGTGATCATCGTGATCGTCATGTTCTTGTCGATGTTCCTCTACCCAACCATCAAAATAATTAGAAAAACGCGACTCGGACAAAGGCGTGTCCACTGCGTTCGTTATTAAAAAGGGAAAACATTTATGATATAAAAATGTCTTTTTAATTAATTTAAAGAACACACTTACTGTCAGTCGAGTCACGATTTTCCATTATGATTAAAGCCACTAAACCCAAAAGTACGGCCATCAATGAAAAGAATATTATCTTGGCACACCAATGACCGCCCGTGCCATGATCATGCTGCACGTGTAGAAGGACGTCATCGGTGCCCATTTTAGTAATATGGACACCGTGAGATGCTTCATCATCTTGAGAGGAAACAAGGACATACAATAAATTAACAAAACTAACATAAAAATATATTGTATAAATAAAAAAAATTAAGTAATTAAAATAAAAAAATAGGTATAATTTTGATTTTAATAGAACGACGATATATTAGCAGTGCAAGATACATTTTCTAATAAATATTTTGAAAATGTTAAGCGGAAAGCATTTGAGGACTTTAGGATAATATCTTTTAAATTGGGAATCACACATTAGCTGGTCTACCTTGTAAACTACTTTTACGTGAAAACGTTATCTCGCCATCCGATTTACGATCGAGACCATCTATATAGGTTATATGTGCAATAATTAAAGTTATTAATTAATTACTTTTATAAAAAACAATTAGAAGAGAATTGTTTTTATGTATTTGTGCATGTATGTACATCTTCATTCATATTTAACTGCATGATCTTTTCTTCGACACAAACATAAACGCAAAAACAGTAGATAATTCCTATGACTGGCGAGAGTTCCCACCAATTTCTTTCAATTTTTCTTCTGTATGAATGTATGCAACGATATGAAAACAAATGACTAAGCGATAATGTACGCAAATAAACTCAAAGTGAATTCATTTACTTGCTTTGTTATCTTCGGTTATGCTAACAAACAAAATGATAAAAAATTCCATTAGATTTTAGCTCCATGGAAAGATATAAAACAATTATACAAAAAAAAGGTAGATCTATTACTATAACATTACACAAATTAAATACACAATAGCAAAGGACAATAAATGAAAGTTTGATAGAAAAATTTATTTTTCATTTCCGCCACCCATCAATTTAATTTTCTATGCTTAAATGGACTCACTATAGTTCCTTTCATGTCAGCTGAAGTTTGGTCGCAACAATTGTCTAGAGAAGCAGGGAGTTTGCCAGTTTATAAATCAAAACACTCTCTATGATGTAAAATAACATTAATCTCCTTGACATTGCATTTTATAAAATACTTTAAACGTTAATGTATTTTGGCAGCCCTATGTCATATGTTTTTTTCTCTGTTTCTCTTGATCGCTCTGAGCGCAAAGAATATTGTGTATGAGAGAAAAAAAACAAATACCTTGCTACGAAATATATTAGGATTATAAAAATACATATGATTTTCATATAGAATGCAAAAAAAAAAATAGCAACAAAGTACCCCCGAAAAATATTTTTGCTTTATATAATAGGACCGCTTAAAAACCATTTATATATATATTGAAGCCATACAAATATACATGATTGATAAAAATAAGGGTTGTTTTGTTCAGTTCGTAGAAAAAAGTATTCAAAAATATGATTACCTACCACGTTTCTTTTTCTTATCCTTACGCTTGCGTGGTTGCACATCACCGGACATTTCTTAAACCCTTTTTATTGTTTTTTTTTTTTGCTTTTTGCGCTCTCACAACACGATGGTAATTACGATGTTATTGCTGATTATGATCACGTTATTAATGACCTATTTCTGAGGCTATTTATAATAACTTAACGGTTTCTTTGTCACCACTACAATTTTTTAAAATTTAGTGACAAATATTCATATGTTAACATTAATTTTCGTATTATTTTTAGGAACAAAATTTTCTATAGAAAGCAATTTTTCAACACAAATTTTACTTTATTTTAAATTATACGTTCATAGATGGGCACACGAACATTTAATTAAATATGTTTGTTTCAGAAAAACGTTTCTTTTTTATTAAAAGTACACAAAATCACACTTATAATTATATATAAATCTATACATATATATATATATATATATATGTATACGTATGTTATGTGTGTCTATATAGATATATGCATGTATATATAGATATAGACATATGTAATAATCTCTAAATGTGTACACTTTCCGTGCGCTGTGCCGATATTGGATGTTTGCAATTTATTTACAAATCTTGCTCTACTCGCGCTCGTAGTCTTTTGACGTCTGATGATTGCCAGATTAACAGGCAATTTATCGGAAAAAATGTTATTTTATAATGAAAAACTTAAAAATAAATTCCTTCTTTCCGCATGAACGATTTCAGATTTATATTCTCTTGCTCACTGCAGCGTTCGTATATTCTCTCATTTTTTAACATGATTTCGTACTTATTGTATATGCGTTTACTGATCAGTACTTATGTAAACTTATGTTTAAGTTTTGCTATTCTCATGATGGTTTCCTTATTACTCTTTTCTCATTTCTACGACTTTTTTGTATTTTTATATAGCCGGTAAAAAAAAACTTTACGCTCCCATTTGTTATGCGATATTTGTTTTGATCGTTAATTCTTCATTTGTTTTTACATTGATAAAACCGGTCAGCATATGTAGATCATTTCCTGCAGAAATTATACTAAAAAATAAGTGAATAGTTTGTGTGGTATTATAGACATTGCAGCAAATTAATTACTCTCTTTCGATATGTCTAAGTAACATTTCGTACCAGAGTGTGTCTTAAATGTTATGAACAAACAATCTACTTGACTCAATTCATTGTCATTCATTGTCATCAGTATCGTTATATTCAAAAGTCATGTAATTTGATTCAACCTGAAAATTATATTTTTCCTCTATGCTATTTTCTGGTTAATTTCAATTTTAAGCGAAACTAGCAAAGCGCTGAAATGATCATAGTAGTATATTTATTATTTTAGTTTCAGTTCAAAAATTTCTCTACAGAATATACCCATGTATATTATCTGATCTAAAAACTTTGTAATCATATATCTAAAGACTTTTATTTTATTAATATTTCAAGTAAAAATCAGCCGTCGTATGATTGATTCTTAACAGTAGCTTTATAACGATAAAAAGCATTGACACTGCCAATCTTGAATAAATTAAGAAACTCTTTTTGTGCAAAGAAGTTAAAACGAAAAATATATTCAGTTTTTAGAATTTTTTAAGAATTCCTTTTAAGTATTTCCTCTGTTTTTTAAATACATTTTAAAATATAATAGATTGCTTAAAAATCGACAAATGTCTAAATTATTACAATGTGATGAATAAAATAGAAAGCATTGCCATACTAAAAAATACTAGAAAGTAGATAACATCTGATTTTAAGTTGTACATTTAGTTTCATAAATTTTTTTTAGAAGCAGAAAGTGAATTTTTTCAGTCTTCCTTACTTATAATGTTGAAATTATTGAAAAATACTCGTAATCCATATCAGCCAGTGGTAATTCTCGCTTAATGAATTTTTATACAAATTTGTAAAGAAAGCAAATATTTTACAGCAGCGTGTTTATTGCTCATCAACCTCCAAAAAGGATACGCAGAAAACAATACCGAAAAATGTTTTGGAGACTTATCAAACAGCTCAATTACAATCTGAAAACGGTGCCATTTACGATAAAAAGCCCTTTAAAATACATTTAGATCAAAGTGAGCAAATGTAGCACCCAGTAAAGCAATGCTTTATATAATCTCCTTTTGCAGATAAACTATACAGTTGGTGCTTATGCGGCAAATCGAAATCGCAACCAATTTGTGATGGTACTCATAAAAATGAATTTTTGAAAATTAAATTGCGGTAAATATTACAAGCAATTGAAGCTTACATAGCCCGATTTTATAGACTTCGTAGGCTATAAGTGCAATGAAATAAATAAACAATTTTTTTTTGCAGGCCAATACGCTTCAAAGTCGAAAAAACCGGTGATTACTGGCTTTGTAATTGTAAACACACTAAACATAGACCCTTTTGTGATGGAACCCATAAGGAACAGCATATACAAGATGCCGTTAAATAAGTAGCATTTCTCAAACATTGTCATGACCATCATCGTCAGGACATTTAGGACGAAAATAACAACTAGGATTTAAAATTACTTTTTCAACGCGATATGTTTTATTTTTGTATGTAATAGTTAAAAGTTAATAAAACATATTTCATATTTTCAAAGTATTTTTATGTTTATTTGTTTTCGTAATATAATAATATATGCATATGTTTATATGTATATAGAAGGGTGGTTTAATTTTGTTATATTTATTATATTCATAAAGCACACACACACATGTACAACGAGATGTTTTAACGTATCCTTATGAATGTTTTTAACTTACGGAGATTAATTATAAAATATTTTCTTTTTTTTCTCTCAATATAAACAACACAAAAGCTTATAATCAAACTTACAGCCAATGAAAGAGAAATAAAAAAAGGATATGTACAAGTTTTAAATGCCTTTTTTTTTTGTACAAATTCAAATTAAACTAAAAATGTTTACAATTTATAGAAAGTAAAATAAAAAACTTTAAAAATTTGTTTAGACATTCGCGAACTTTTTTTTTCTTTTGTCATTTATTGATTTCTTTTCCTTTGCAAAAATCATGATCCTTAAGAAAATTTGGTTGAGAATTGTTTTTCCCCAACTATTTAACAATAATTTTATTTGACCTGCTGATTGAAAAAAATTAAAATATTAAAATCTTTTTTTTTACGTACTTGAAAGGCGTGAGGCCACATTTAATCTGTCTCCACCTTTCTAATACTAAAATTTTCCACTTTAGACACTTTAAAGCAATACTTCCCTGATAACTTTGCGATCTCCCTTCCTTATCGGAGATCTCACAGTCATAATGATTGCGAAGAAAGCTATAACTTTGAACAAAGAGCCGGCACAAGATCATAACCCAAAAGGCACATACTATGCCCGAAACGTATGCAGTCGATATTCACTAAAGAGCATTTCTTAATTCATCCGACAACCTGAGTTTTTCGCATTTCTTTTCAGTTGTTCGAATGTCGAGGCACACATGATGAAATCGAACCAAAAGACTAGAAACGCAAAAACTTTACTATAACTTTGCAATGCTTCGAGATGTTCCCGTTGCACTTTCTTCTTGACAATAGAATAAGTCGCTCAAGGAAGAGCATAAATATATAAATAAAGTAAGTAAAGGGGCCAATTTCCTAAACCCCTTTGTATGAAGTCAGTCGTTAGTCAGTCAGTGCATATTATGTTGTTAAGTCGTAAGGCTCTTGCAAATGATTGAATGTTTCTTAGAAATGCAGAGAGATGAGTTTCACTTTCTCTTTTTTCTCTTCACTTTAGTAAGTAGCAAAGCAAACATACAAACATACATGATCAAAGTGAAAGTAACCGATTAAGAGAATAGCTAAAGAAATCTATCTATCATGTAGTCGTCAAGATCGATAAAACTTAATCCGCATTGCTAAAGTTCAAAGCTAACCGCTGTAAAAAACAAAAAAAAAAACCTACTTTTGAAATCATCCGAGATAAAATGTTGAGCATTTTCATTAGCGACTTTCCATTTGTTTTTTTTTGTTTTTTTTTTTTTTTAACAACTTGTGTCTTGTTTATACAACAACATGTAAATTGTTTGTTTTTCTTTATTTTATATTGGATAGAGAGTAGAAAAAAAGATTAGCAAAAAATAGGCTCTACAAGAAAGACAAGAAATTTTCTTTGCATTGATTTTTTTTTTTTATAGAAAACTGAAGTAGTTAAAAAGATTTATGTTCTTTGTAGAAAAAATCGTAAACATAAGTTATAAATTTAAATTATAAAAAAAAAAAAAAATATCAGAAAGAGACACCACACTTATACACACGCACACGCCACGAATTTAGTATTCCTCATCTTCCGGTGGAATTTCATCGGGAGGTGCGAAACCATCCTAAAAATATACTTTTCAGTTTTTTTGACCAAGAAAAGTATTAATGGGACTCATTCTACCTCGGTTGCATAGAGAATTTCTAAAATCTTTTGAACCAACGGATGTGTTTCTCCTTCGTCAACTTCTTGGCAGCTGCAAAAAAAAAAAAAAAAAAAACAAAACAAAAATGTACTTTGAACAGAAGCTTTTCAAGAGGCGCTTGACGCGCTCGGAGAACTTACAGAATTTCAATGTCACGCAATTTGGAAAAATAAAAGTCTCGTTCTTTTTCTAAGCCTTCCAAGTTCAGACGCATGTCCATAATCTGTGAAAATATTTTTTCTTGTTAATTAAATGAAATTTTCTTAATATTGTTTTTGTTTTTTTCTACCTGACTGGATAATTCTTCGATTTGTTGATTCGTTACAGTATTATTCGAATTATCGTTGGATTTCTTAACGGCGCCCGAGCTATTGGCGGAGGTAGCTGATCTTGCTGCTGCTGCTCCTGCAGTTGCTCTCGGTGGTACTTTCGTACCTTTTTAAATTGAATTAAAAATTGTTTAAATTATTAAAAAACACGCATCACACACAAATCCTTATTTATAAAGTCTCCCCAAAACCGAAAACAAATTTTCGAAACATCCTTTCTTCTTTTTTTTTATAATTTTCCAGAGAACATAGAAACTGTCCCTTCAACATACGTGAAGCACGTCAATAGAAATTTTCATTGAGAAAATAAATCAAAAAAAAAAAAAAAAAAAAAAAAAAAAAAAAATTAAAAGTGTTTATAAAAATTTTTTTTTTTTTTTATATGGGAAAAAAAAATTAGGAATACCCAAAACCAAAAGATTTGTAAAAATTGGAAGCAATAATTAATATAATACATAGAAAAGTGATTAGAATATCAAACCACCACATACTGGATTTTGATGCCACTGATGATGGTACTGTTGAGCGTGCTGTTGAAGCTGTCGTCAACGATGAGGGCTTTCGGTGGGTAGCTATTGCTCCAGTACCAGAACCAGGTAAAGTTTTTACAAATGCCGCTCCGTAACCCATCTGCGCACCTTCTCGAGCTGCACTCGCATCATAATCCTTTCCATCATAATTGGCATCAAAGAATTTTTTAAACCATTGCAGAAATTCAAAATTATCTTGAAAGCGGCCCTTGATTAATTTATCAATTGGTATAATCTGCGATCGTTTCTCAAGGGAAGACGAGAGCAAGCAAGTATACATATATATATATATATATTATATATATGGTGGATGGTTGTTGGATGTGTGGTGCAAATGGCGGCCAATTTTTTTGTGTTTTTTTTTTTTGGTGGATATAGTAGATGAGAAAGAAACAAAAACAAAAAGATACAAAAACCGAAAAAAGAATGAAGAAAAAAATTTATTTAATGATAGAAAATGTAATGTTAAGCAAATATTTTATGATTTTTATATGAGATTTTTCCGGTTTCATAATTACAAATGAAAAGCAAAGTAAGTGATAATTACGTGACTTATTTAACTTATATATATATATATATTAAAGCAGCTTTGTGTGTGTGTACAAAAAAAAAAAACAATAAAAAAAGCTTTAATATCATTTTCTCTATTTACAGCTTCACGGGAATCGATAAATCTTTGACATTTTATATATTAAAATATGCATATGCGTGTAAAAGGCAGAGATGATTATGTTATTTCTATGATAATACTGGACTGGAATTGTTAACATATAACACATAACATATAATTTCCACAATAATCTCTTCTAGCATCTACTATCTCTTTTCTTTGTTATAAGTTCATTGTTAAAATTGTTTTCGATTTTTTACCTTAAATCGCAGCAAATAAAATAGAAACCCTATCTATCATATTTGAATTTTGAAATGCAAAATCATTTCTAACGATTTCCGTTCATATACAATTTTATATATACATACAAAATGCTCCTCTCACTCGATTTAAAAATTTAATTCCCTAAGCATATATGTATAACATTGCGTAATATAACATGGACTTGAGAGTGTATATAGTTACGAATACGTATTAAAATATTTAATATTGACTCAATTATATGAAGTGAAATATTTTTTTTTAACTTTTCTTTTTTTTTTGTGTAAAAAATAAGGGAAATGCTTTTATTTTATACATAAGTACATTACTACTTTTTTTGCACGCTACTTTGAGAAAATATTTAGAGCTTTTTTCATTTTGCACGATTTTTTAAATTTGTGAAAAGATTGAACATCTTCCCAGATTGGCCATGTCCCAAATATTTTTTTACGCTATTTTTTTTTTTTTTACACGACTTTCTACCGTGTAAAAAATGAGTTGCGTGTATACATGTACTTAATTGAATGAAAATAAGCAGCAAAAGTATCTTATAAATTGTAGAAAACATTGTTATGAAACTTGACGCAAGGGTCAGTTAGATTGCTGCGCACTACCTACTTATGCAAAAGAACTATTCCTTGATCATAATCACCCATCGTTCTGACACACCCAAACTCATAGGCTCTCTTTGCTCGTATTTCAATCAGGTTTATACAATTTTTAAAACTAACTTCATAACCAAGATTTTTTCCCTCGGATTTCGTAACTTTTATAGAAACACCAATGTTTTTACACGTGTACAGCGTAAAATTTAAAGTGATTTGATAATTTTAGAAGGTAGGTGGAACTTTTGAAGCTCATCTAAACCTTTCACATTCTCCTTAACATAATAACACTCTAAGACAACTCACTCATTTAAGTTAATCTAATCTCTTTGAAAAAGTATTAAATTGGACTTAAAAATTTATATCACATTTCGTAAGATATTTCTGAAGTTTTCTGTGTAAAAACTGATTCATTTATGAAATCCATCAGTCGCGTTCATTTCTTTCGCAAATTCAGTTATAGATAACTTTGACATTGACATTTGTGCAGTATAAGGCTTCATTTGTTTACAGTCTGTTGTTTAGTATATATTATATATAGGGGTAAAGGGATACATGTCATTTGAGATGGCGCATTTTTTTCTCTTAAGTTGCCTTGGAACAGTAATCTAAAAGTAGCTTTGCAAACTTTCGTGCGCAAAATTTTAGTCTTGAGCAAGATGTACGCAACACAGCAAATGCGCTTTGGCTTGAGTTGGAAACTTCTCCTGACAATGGGATTATTGTCCAAAGCTGTTTCCTACTGATGCAGTCGTATTTAGCAAATCAGTAGATAAACGAAAATTATGACTAATTTGCCTCAAAACCACAAAGCTTATACCGGAAGCCATCCAATAAGGGGCAAGCGATCACAGGAATATTCCGTCTTTTTTACTTGATTTAGAAATGGCACGTTTCACCAGTAAGAACAAATACACTCTTTTAAACGAATCTATCAAACGTGCAAAAAAAGAGTGGGGACGTAGTATGAGATTAAACATTTTTTTTATTTGTGCGTATAACACGAGTCTACATATTCACATTTATTAGTTTTACACTATTCGGTGATTATGAAAATTGTTTTATTGAGCAAAAAATCTCTCTAACCCAAGGAAAGTTTCCCGATTTCTATCTTCAATTCAGATGCGCTTCGTCATTTCTAAATTTAATGATTTGCAAAACACAAACATTTTTGAATACGAAGGGCCTTAAAAAAGAACACGATCGAAAAATAGCGACAACAAAATACTTGTACTTTTTTACTTTAATTTCTACTTTTACAATACGAATCAAAAAAAGAAGGCAGAGAAAGGAGATAGTGTCTTTCTTTTTTTTCTCTCTTTCGGAAATAAATCAATCTTCTGCAAAGACGGTGCTTAATAAATAATGAAGTGAATGGTGTACTTAAAGTTACAATGGTACAACAACAAAAAAAAAAAAAAAACGAAATACAGATAACACAAATGAAAATGAAAATTGCAAGAAAAAAAAAAAAAGCAAATAGAGAAGAAAATCCAACCAACGTGCTTCACCACCGCGTTTTTTTTTTTTTTTTTTTTTTTTTTTTGCCCCGCAAATGATAGTCGAATGGATTTTTATTGTTTACTTTTGACAAATCTCATACCAGTTGTGCGAATCGCATGATGTATTGCCCGTCCCGAAGGCATTTGTATGTGACGTTTCTCCACTAAATCATTACTGCTGCCAGCGCCACTGTTACCGCCGCCGCCGCCGCCACCAACGCCACTACCCAATTTAACGCCGCCACGCGCTACCAATGGCTCATATTCACGTCCATCGTAATTGGCATCGAAAAATTTTTTAAACCATTGCAGAAATTCGAAATTGTCTTGAAAACGTCCCCTAATCAATTTATCAACCGGTATAATCTAAAGGAAATGTTTGTTCATATTTTTTTTTTTTTCTTTATCAGAAAAGGTCAAAATGAAATAGAGATGGAAACGCGAGCGCGCATGTATGTATGTATTAGAGAGTGGGAGTGGGAGTGGGAGAGAGACTACCACGTTAAGAAAACAAAGCATAAATATCACTTACTTTCTTTTAAAAATAAATGCAACGCAAAAAACAAAACATTTAATATAATAAAATAAAAAATAAAATATTTTACATTTTACAACATAACATACAACAAACAACACGATTAATATGTTTTTTCATTGTTGTTGTTGTTATTGTTATTGTTGTTGACGTTATTATGATAATTGTTATTTACTATTATGAACTGCTTTAACTAAATTATTAATATACATGTACATATATATACATGTATATATATACGTGTATATATATATATATCTAGCGTAGCTTACCTTGTCGACGTTCATTTTCTTAAATGAAGCTTGTAAAATTTTAAAATTCTGAATATATTCATGCTCCAAATTCGTACGAAACTTGACACGTTTCATGGGCACCGAAGTTGGAAATAGCATATCCATAAATTGACAATAAGCAGCTCCTATTATATATAAAAATTACAACACAACAATAACAAATGAAAATTAAAGTAGAACGTTTATTTATGTATTTACAACATATAGCGGTTCGGTGGTGTGCCAGCTGCCGCCGATGCGCATTCAACATACCTGTGCAGAGCTCTTCTATTTTAGCAAATTGCGCTTGCAAGCAATCATTAACCCAAGCAAGCATATCATGTCTGGATAAATTTTCAGTTGTTACATTCGTCGAATATACGTTCACTGCCATTCTTTAAGATGATTAATATAACTCTGACTGGTTGACTAAACTGACTACTGGCACTGGAAAGTATGTGTTGTGTTTTGTGTTATATTAATTTATGTTCGTTGTTGTTTCTTCAATTCAAAACCAAAAGCAGAAGCGGAAACAAAGAGAGACACAGATTAAAGTAGATACTGTAAATAAAAATTAAATAGAAAATAATAAAAAAAAAAAAAGAAAAAAATTATTAAAAATTTTTTTATAAAATATTTATATATTATAATTTTTTTTTTTTTTTTTGTCTTTATTATTAGTATTTCTATTTTATTATTGTTATTCGCTTTATCACCTGGGGTGCAAGTGGTATATTATGTTTGTGCGGATGTACGTATTACCCAGAAACACTTGCGGACAGGCCCCACCTTTTTTTCAGAATCACTTTTAAAATTACTTTCTGCACCTTTCTAAACTTGTCCGTCCGTCTTGATTTCTTGGGCTCAACTTGCCCATTTTGATGAAATTTGATACACCGCCATATTTCGGCTTATGAAGGAACGCTATTAAATATAGTTCCGAATGTATCCCTTTTTCGACCACTCCCCAATATAAAACTTTATTTCGAAAAGTTCTTAGACATAGATAACTGCACTGAACGAAGTGATGTAGGGTATTTAATGGTTGGCCGTAACCCACTGTCTCGCTTTTGCTTGTTCACTTTACTTCCTTTTCTTTTCTTAATATATATTAAGAAAAATCCACATATTCTTAATATGCATTACCGGGCCCCCGAGAAATATTTAACATATTTTGTCAAAAGACTACAGGGAATTGCCAAACTAAGATAATCTTTCATTAATTCGAAATGTTTAGATATTGACATTGGGAACACTAGATGGATTTCAATACTGGAAAGAGAAACGGATAGCGTAGCGATCGTTTTGTAAGCTTTTTTCGAATTTTCTTCTACGACAGTGGCAATCAAATTCCTCCATCCAACCGACATTTTCTATTTCCAAAGGCAAATCAACATAACTGGCGACTTATGAATTATCAAGAACTACCGATCCTCAAGTTTAGATGATGACCGGCTTTCTTTTTCCGCTTCCACTCAATGATTTGCTACTCGAGCGACCCGGGCCAAGTATTTAACAAACTATCCCATTCCAAACGATTCCATTTTTACACAGTTGCTATGTCATCTTACTCATAGAATATATAAGGAATATATATACATTTGTATATGTATATATCGTTGCATCTGCTGAACTTTATAAGCATAATGGGTGAAAAAACCCAATTTTTGCGTTTTTGAAAACAAAAATATTTTCAATTTATTTTATATATTGGCAGATCTGTGTGCCCGATCTTGGCCATTTTCATTATTGAGCTTCCTGTAAGAATTTCCAAAGGTGTTTCGCAAATTATCTTAGTCTTGTCTTAACTTTTGAGTTGAGGAGAATATTTATTGCAAAAAAAATTCAAAGATGGACGGAAGAACAGAGACAAGCTTAAATCGATTTGCGACTTTACAATGACACGGAAAATTTCATAGAGCCTAGGCTGCTTCAAATTCTCGATGTTGGCTCGAACGTTGTAATAAAATCCACCCTATAATGATGCTTTCACATTTTTGATCGATTCCGCTTTTAACTTGGGAACTTGTCATAACCCTACGGCAGAATTCCAATGGCAAGCATAAGTGAAAATAACGTTAACTGAATTCAGAGAATTTTAAGCGACTCCAGTAGTTTAGATATTTATAGTGGCTTTCAACTTTCCGTTTTTCCAAGTGTTCTAAATACCATAAAAAAAAAAAAAAATATATATATATATATATCTAGTCCTCTGCGCTAAGTACAAGAAAAAAAAGAAAAGAAAATGAATTTAAAAAAATTTCTGGTATTTCGTGCTTGAAAAATATTTTACTATTGTTTGCTTAACTGTTTAAATTGTAAATTCATTATCACGCTAACGTTGTACCGGCATTGAAAGACACAATTAAATGAATATTGAATCTATAATTGCTATAATAATTGCATTTTTCATTTTTACATCAAATATGAAGCATTTATTGAATAGAAAAAAAAAAAAAAAAAGAACATGATATCGGTCAAAGAGCGGTTCAAAACATTGCGAACATATGAAGAAAAATGCTCTGTTGATTTAATGGAAAATTTGTAACACAGATAAATCGAAAGCAAAACAAACCATTCAAAAGTTATTTATCAATTCTTTTACACCCTACATCACTTGGTATATATACGAATTTCGTAAAGATAATGCCTTGAGATAATTGCAACTATCAGTTGCTGAACCGATTTATGCTTTTCTGTCTCTCTATGTGTTTTTACAATATTTCTGAACAACATTTTCTGAATCGATTTAAACCTCTCCGTCCGACTGCCCGCGTTAAGTTTGCGTAGAATGGCTTGAAATAAATTCACAAACGATTTAAGCTTCTGTCCATCTGTCCATCTCGGTATGTCTGCGTTAATAATTATTCCGAATCGATTTA